TGTCCTCCACGCCGATGTCGCTCAGCTTCAGGGGGCCCGACTTGGTATCCTTGTCGCCCCCGGCGCCGCCGCCTGCACCACCCGCGCCGCCCCCATTGGAGGCAACTGAAGAGAGTTTGGAAGAGGGCGAGGGGTCCGGCTTCCCGATCTGTGAACATGTTTGCGCCAACAGTGCCAGCGGGCTCTTCTTGGCATCAAGCTGCGGGGTCAGACGGGGGAGGTGGAAGAGGGGTCATAGAAAAAAAGGGGGAAACCCTTTAGATTCCAGGTTTATAATGCCCCTCCGAAACAGCCCGCTAAGAGCCTTTCAGGCCGGAGACACTCCCTCCACAGACACTGCAAGGATTCTCGCCCTTGGGAAAGGCGGAAGAACCCACTCCAAAACCTCTGTCAAGATCTTTCCCGCAGTCTTTTAGTGCTAACTGATTTGGAGGGGGGGGGAGCACCTTACAAAATGTTTTGGTTTTCGGCTTCTAGACCCAGAACTGTAACCACTCCCCACACACATCTCTTAATTCTTCAAAAGGCTTGGGCAGTCGGCGCCTCAGACACTGCATACATACACTAGTTTATGGGCAGCAAGAGGACCAGACTTTCGAACGGTATTCAGGTCCCCGCCCGACTTCGGGGCCGAGTAGGAAGGTGTGTGGGTTGGGATAGAGGTTTTAACTAAAAGGAGAGAAACAAGTTTGGGCCTCCTTGCTCCCTGGCAATCACACCCCGTTCCGCCTCTTTCCTCTTTTGCGCCCTAGTTTTGAGGTGCTGAAGCGCTGTCCTCTCCCTCATCCCAGAGCTGAATCACTCCGACACCCCACCCCCACTCTCAGATCCCCAGAGAAAGAAACCCTGTAGGGAGCAGCGAAGGTAGTGGTCCTAGGTCAACCCTGGAAGAGAGTCCTTACCTCGATGGGGCTGACGGGAGTGGAAGGCAGGGGCTGCAGGTACTCGGGGTGCAAAATGTGGCCAGTCCGTGCCGTCAGCATCTTCAGCACCTTGATGGGCAGGCGGTTGGCCTGGCGCAGGGGGTCAGAGGGGGGCACGGCGTGCACAAAAGGCTTGGTGCTGCCGGCCGGGGACGAGCCTGGGCCGGGGCCGGAGCTATTTCCAGAGAGAGCGCTGGTCCAGGCAGGGTCCGCACTGCCGCCTCCGCCGCCGCCGCTGTGCTTACTGCTTCTTAGGGCAGAAAGCGAGGGCGCTGTGCTCATGACCCACCCGCACGCATGGGAGCAGCGGGGGGAGGGCTCCCGGAGGCGCGGGGCGGGCTCGGGGCTGCGCGCTCGCCCGGGGAGCAGGAGCAGCAGCAGCAGGAGGAGGAGCTGGCGCGGCGGCCTCAGGCGCCCAGTACGCCTTCTTGGCGCCTAGAGCCAGGGGCGAATAATCCTGGGTGGCCTGCAGTGGAACGGTGGCCCGGCCGGAGCAGCCGGCGGGACTGCGGGAGCGCGGAGCGGTTAGCGGCGTCCGCCTCGGGCTGCGCCCTTGCGCTGCGCTCTCGCGGCCCCGAGCCGGCGCTGCGCTCTACGATGTGAGCTGCTGCTTGTCCAGCCGGGGCTCTGGCGAGGAAACTCACTTCAAAAGCAGCTGCACCGAGGGGGAGATTAAAGCCTTTGCCGCCTTCCAATCAAATGGGAGCCCGAGGTGATTGGAGGGTCAAGGGGATGTGACGCGTCCCGCGCCGCCGCCGCCACCGCCGCCGCCGCCAGGACTCTCAGAGCTGGTTTTAATGGGCAGCTCCTTCTTTGCCACCCCCCAGCGAGTCCCCTCCCTCGATTTCGCTCGGAGGACGAGATGGACATTTATTCTACGTTTGCCATCTGCCGCCTCCCTCTCTCTTTTTTTTTTTTTATCTTGGTCGTTCTTTTCCCAGCTCAAAAAATAAACTGAAACCTTTTGGAGTGTGTGTGTGGGGGTGCGTGTGCCGGCAAACCGCGGGGGCGTCCAGAAGAAGCTCCGGCGAGAGTGTGGATCAGCCGGACCGTCAACTCCAGGGGCGTGCAGAGGGCCGGAACACAAATGTTCTTTTTAGTAATTGATATCCCGCGCGGCGCGGCCACCAGGGTAAGGAAAGGTGGAGAGCGGGTTCTGGAGGAAGTCCGCCCGCCCGCTTTGATTTCCTGAGATTCCGCAGCAGAGAAACCAGAAGCTAGAGGGGCAGCGGAGGCGGTGGTGGCTCATCCCGGCGACGTGCGTTGGGCTCTCCGCCCTTCTTGGCCACGTGACACCTGAGGACGCTCAGATTGGGGCAGGAGCGGGGGTCACATGTTTCCTCTGTTTCAGTCCCCCCCCCCACATTCTTACTCTCCCCAGCCACCCTCTCTTTTCCTCTCCCCCCCACCCCCGTTCTTTGGGCATCTCCACCCCTCCATCAATTGTCAATGTGCCTCGACCGCAATCAATCAGTTATTTGTCAGCTCTTGTCAATCCGCCCGTGATTTATGTCAGCTTTTGTTGCTGATTACAAGGCGGGTGCGACTTGAAGGGAAAAAGAGAGAGGGAGAGAGAGACAGAGGAAGGAAGAGACCGAAGGAACCGGAGGAGGGGAAAAGAGGAGCGGCCTCCTGGGATGCGCGGGGGAGGTGGGAGTAAGAAAAAGAATGCAAAGGGGGGCGGCAGGCGCTCAGTGTCAGGAAAATGCATTGTGAGAGTAAAGTGCGCAGGTGCGCCTAGGGCGCTGAGGGGCGCACAGGCCCGGGATGCGCGCCTTCCCCTATGTGTTGGAGAGACACGTATAGCCACCACCCTTAGGATCTTCCGCCCGTTGGGGTCGTGGAGTTGGGGACCGCTCTGGGTATCCGGATCCGTAGCGGCGACGTCTAACACGGGAGATTTCCCGCTTTCCCGGATACTCCCTCGGGGTGTGTAGCGTGCTGTCAGGCTGCCATCCTTGTTCTATGGTGCCCTACCCTAAACTCGGAGACTTCTTTTCAAGAGCTACCCCACCAACGTAACCTTGAGTTCTGGAAGTCAATAGTGGGGCAACACATCCTCAATTCTTTGCCCATCTTGATCGCGGCTAGGATTAAAGGCTGCGGAAAAGAGACCATAACGTGGGTGTTTGGGGAAACAGGTTTCAAGGTTCACTCTTTCCCAGTCCCTAAACCCTCCCCATTATCCGTCCTGCGCCATCCCCGCAGCCTTGGGAGCTGGGGTTACGGTCGGGCCACTTGCCCGAATTTAATGGAACGCCGAGCCGGGACTGACTTGCGCTTGGAGAGCAGAGGGAAGGAGCGAGAGAGGGAGGGGGGCGGCTGCCTGTGGGAACACGGGTTCTTCCAGGGAAGCGGAGTGGGACTGCGGCGTTCCCCTCGATTTGCACTGTCAGTCGGGCTGTTTGGAAAGAAGAGGGGAGGCGCTGTGCGTGCCGCTGTGTACCTGGCTCTGGGTGCACTGTGTATATGTAAGCCTGCACCGCTGAGTTCTCAGGGCTTTGGGAGCGTGTGGAGCGAGTTCGAGGGTCACCTCCAGAAACTCGCGGAAACTAGAAGGGGGTGAAAGGAAGACACACCCCTTCCTCGGAAGGACTTGGAAGACTTTGAATCTCCCCTCCCCCACTTTTCCGCCTGACTCTTCTTTTGTTGTCAAGTCCTTTTGATAAATGGTCGGGCTGGGAGCGCTGGGAGCCTGGAGCCCGTCTGTGCCCGCACAAGGGGCGGGGGCCGAGGCTGGAGACCCGGTTTAGACCTGCGCAGCACCCGGAGCTGAACTGGGTACGCGTGAGGGTCAGATCTGGGACCTGCCCTCGGCGTGCTTGCCCTTTCCTCTCTCACCACCCTACCCCCTTTCCTCCTGTCTCTGTCTCCCACTCCGCACGGGTACCGAGAACTTTCTGGGGTGAGTTTTAGAATTTCCTCTCAGGGTTTATTTTTCTGCGTTTTAATTTTATCCCTTGATCCTTTAGATTGGTCAACTTTATGAGATGGTAACTTGGCTAAAGCTAGATTGGAGAGGACAGAAGAGAATGCGGTCTTGTGCGTTTGGGACTGGGTTTGTGTGCATGTTAGAACACACCTGCACTCAAGGGGCTTTGTAGTGTCTCTGTTCGAAAACTGAGGAAGGTAAGTCGGTGAGACCGTGGGGAGATCACATGTGAGGTTGTGAAGGTTGTTTGATCATTGGAGTGCGAGTCCCAGGTGCTGGTTTCTAAGGACCAATGATTCTAAGCTGGCACTGCGTGTCTGTAAAGCCTCTCTTATTCTGCGGGTGTGTCTGCCCGCGGTACTGCACCGCAGTCTAGGTATCAGCTGGGGCCAACTGCAGTGCTCCCAATGTCGCGAGCTCGGCCTCGGGCTGCTTGTCGCCTAGGCCTCCCAAACAGGCCTGGACACTGAATGGGGCTGCGGCCAGAGCTAGGAGTGACCGCAGGCCCGGGGGCATCCTTCCCCACCCTCCTATCCATCTCCAGGCGCATTTTTTTTCTCCTCTTCTCTGATTCCAGCAGCTTTCTTATTACACAGTAAATCTCAGGGGGAGCCACCCCAACACTCAAAGCCCGGGGAAGCCTTGAGTGGCTCCTACGCCCTCGGCTGTAGCTTCAGACCCTCATAGGTATGCGCTGTGCTTTGTGGGCGCGGGTCCTGGGCCTTGAGCGTTTATTCTGCTCAAAACTCAGCTCCCAAGGTCCGAGCGCACGGGGGCGCCTGGGGTCCTGCGCGCCCGGGTCTTTTGGTAGGCGTCAACGTCGGACAGAGCCTGCGCACCTTCGCCGGAGGCCAAATCCCCAAAGGCCCAGAAGGCCGGAGCTTGGGGGTGGTTATTAATTACTCCGCGCTGAGCCTAAAGCCTTCAACCACTAGCAGCGGTTGGCGTGGATGTCCTGTAGGTTTTATTTGCACACAATGGAAATGATTTGTTTTTCTCAAAAAAAAAATGGGCATGGCAGATATTTAAGGACGGGGTGGGAGGAGGAAAAGGAAGGGGAGAGAGCTGAGGAAAAAAGTTTGAAAATGCCTTGAACTGTTCACTGTCGAGATGGCTAATCAGTATTGAGGCCGGAGGGCAGGCGGGCCGCCTTTCACCGCCGCTTCCCTTTCATCTCGGGCTCGGCGGAGGCGCTCAATTAAAAGCCTATCAGTTTGTAAGTAAATCAACGCCTATCAGAGTTGTCACATCAAACAAAACGATTATTATTGCAGCCCGCCTCCCCTATTAATCTCCCTCGAAGATAATCCGCCTGACAGGTCAGGCCCGGCGAGCTGCAAAGCCTGGCCCAGAGCGCCCAAACAGTCCCGGACTGGCGTGCGCCCCCAGGGGCCTCCCCACCCTCGTCCTCTTCCGCCTCGCAGTCCTTGGGGAGGGGCAAGAGAAAGAGCACACCGAGGCCGCAGGATCCAGGCCAGCCCCACCCCACCGGGAGAGGGGCTCAAATTCACCTGACCGGTGGAGGGGGTCCCGCGCGACCCTGACAGCTTCTCGGGGCGGGAAGGCGCCAGACTTGCCGGAGCGGCGATCGGTCTTGGTCCTGGGGCCTTCGCCTTGGCCTGCCGTCTTCTAAGCTCGCCTCTACTTGCTCTCCGTTTCTCCCCCCAGCCCTTCTTTTTGTTTTCACTGCAGCTTCTTTCTTGATCCTTTCTTTTCCCTTCATTTCCTCTTCCTTTTCCCCTTTTCTACTTGCCAGGAATATTTTCCTATTATCTCTCTCCTCTCTTAGCGTCCGGTAGAAACCACTTAATGTACAGTCACACTTTCTGGAGCTGGGCATTCTCAGGGCCCGGGTTATTTCTTCTGCGGCAGGGTTGCCTCAAGAGTGTGTGCTATTTCCCGGATTTCATGACAAAGTCTTCTCTTCTTTCTTACCAAACAGGGACTCTTAGAAGCTGTGTGCTTGTTTAGAGGCTGAGTGCATTCGAAGGGGGTCGGAGGGGAAGAAGGAGAGAGCGAACTCGACCACAGGGCAAATTGGATGGGTGGATGGTTGCAAGTGCCCTGTTCTGGAATTAGTATTTGGTCTTGAAATTTCACAGTTGCAACTTACTATTTGTGTTGTCTGGGCTTCGCTAATAGATGGCGGAGCCCTACGGGGGCCCGAGAACAGCACAGAATATGTGAAGGGTGCCTAGTATTTCATAAGTAAATTCATACAGGTAACAGCTTCTATGGCTTCAAATTCCTAGGGCTGGGTGGGGTCTGGCTTTAATCGTGGCCTTCTTGGTGGCTTTTGGCTTCCCGCTTTGGGACGTCTTGGCGTCAAGTGCGACTCACTCTTTTCTGCACTTTTGCTCCAAATGCCAATCGTCCAAGCCACAGCCTGATGGAGCCAGGATGGAGGACTGGCTGAAGTGTCTGAGGAAGAAAGGTTGCCCACACGACCCCAGACCCTGCAACCTTAAATGCCAGGTCCAGTACTCCTCCAAAGCCTTTCTTTCTGGGCCTGCATTTGGGAGAACAGAAACTCCAAGGCTCTACAATGCTGAGCGTCCAGGCTGAGCCTCTCCCAACCGGGTTCGAGGTCGCCTTTATCCATTAGAGCCCATCTCAGCCTGCTTAGTGCGCTGGGCTGCAAGAGGGTGACTCCCACACAGGGTTCCCAAAAGTCCCTCTATGTCTTGACTCTTCACAGCTGACTATGTAGAACTGTTTATTTTATTTCCATACCCAGAAATATTCTGTTGATGCAGTGGCTCAGTTATCTGTCCGCCTGCTTTTCTTAAATATATATATATATTTCACATCTGCCACACTGCAGATATTTAAAAAGCTGTAGATAACGGCACCCCTCCACTCTGGCTATGGGAAATATTTACTGGGCGGTTATTTGGACATAAGTTCTATTTCGGACCCAAATGACACTCAAGCAGTTGTAAAAAGACACTTACTCTAGATTTTTCCAACTTAATATATGTGCATACACTGAGAATTTAAGACTATTTTGTATCCTTCTGTGGATCTAAGTATTCAGATGTGATTTGTTACATGCCCTTGAAGCCAGAAGCTACCAGTGGTGTCCGTACTGGACATGGAGCTGTTTGTACAATTTTTTTTTCTCTCTCTGCACTTACACATGATTCTCGATCTAATAAATTCAACCTTGTCATTTTTAGAATCGACGGGATTTCTCTGGCTGTCGTTTGTGCTGCGTTTATCCGAATAAATCCGACTCGCAGACATCCAGCAGGAAACGGCTTCCCGCTGGCTTGAACGCGTTTGCTTTGGCCCAGCCGGGGACTCGAGGTGACTCCTTGTGTC